AATATCCTTTTCTAGGTACTGGTCCCTCCTGAAAATATGTCCAAAGTATGAGAGACAAAATGTAGCTATCCTGCTTTCTAAGGAACATTCTGGCTGTACTTCTTCCAACACAGATCTGTTTGTTCTTTTGACAGTTCATGGTACTTTTAATATTCTCCTCCAACACCGTAACTCAAATGCATCAATTCTTCAATAGGTCATTGGTCGTGCTGAATTCTCTCATGTGATCTCCAGCATCATTTCTCTCACCTTTGTGTTTCTAACCTTTGAGTCTAATCACCCGTAATTATAAATACATTTTGATTGCATGTTTGATTAATTTCAGTCAAAGAATTTAATAGAGTTATTCAATTTAATCATTTTTGGATCTATATGTGGGTGCATAAATTTGAATAGTAGTAATATTAACTGGTCTTCTTGTTGTTGTTGCTGTTAAGTGCTGTTGAGTCAGTTCCAACCACAACAACCCTATAAGGTTTCCGAAGATCAACTGGTTAACCTTGAACAGTAGGCCTTGCGATTAACACCAAGGCAAAGATAGATCTTTCAATGTTCTTTTGATGATGAACTCTACGGCATTCCTCTTAAATTTGTTATTTTAAAATATACAGTTTTCAGATTCAGAATGGCCAATACCAGTCCATTTTAGCTCACTAATGCCTAGAATATCCATCTTTATGCATTCCATTTCATTTTTGACAACTGCCAATTTTCCTAGAATCAGACTTCATACATTCCATCTTCCATTATTACTGAATGTATACAACAGTTTCTCCTCATTTTGATTTGTGCCTCGTCAGAAAATGAAGGTCACGAAAGCTTTATTCTGTTTACTTATCCTGGTCATCATTTTACTTCGAGGAGGCAGCTCTTCCCCAGTCGTATATTGAGTAACTTCCAACCTAACCAGCATATCTTCTGGTACTATATCTGACAATGTTCCACTGGCATTCATAAGGTTTTTGGTGGCTAAACATTCAAAAATAGTCTCACTCTTCTTCTTCCTTGTCTGTCTTAGTCTGGAAGATCCATTGAAACCTGGACACCATGGTTGACTCCGCTGGTATTTAAAAGGCTGGTGGCATAGCTTCCAGCATCCCAGCACCTCGAAAGCTACCACAGTATGACAAACTGACAAGTAACTGATGGTTTCAGCTCTTAGTTACCCTGTATATGGTTTCCAAGGGGTGACTGATGGGTTTGGACTACTATTATAATGTAGGTGAAAGGAAAAAGGATTATATTTATTTCATGATATTAGTACATTTAGGATAAGAACTGGACTGCTAAATGCAAGACCAGCAGTTCAAACCCCCCAGTGCTTTATGGAAGAAAGAGATTTTCTGCTCCCATAAAAATTTACAGCCTCTGAAACAGGATGGCTGTGAGTCAGAATCAACTCAATGGCAATGGTAAGGACTCATGTTGAATTTAGGTAGAAGCACAGTTGACATTCTCTGTACCGTATGTGAAGAAGTCTTGGTGGGCTTGTAAAATAAGCACTGGACTGCTAATCACCAAGTCAGTGGTTCAAAACTACCCATTGCTCCTCAGGAGAAAGATGAGTCTATCTTCTGTCTGAAAGACTTAAGTCTCGGAAACTATGTAAGTTTTGCTATGAGTCAGAATTGAATCAATGGCTGTGGGTTTGGCTTGCTTGCTTTGGAAATCACATGGCAGCTGATTTAGGTAGGAGAGCTTTCTAGTCATCATGTTTCAAAGTCAGTATAATTACTAACAAGAAGTCTGCTGATTCAAGCCTCCTGTTTTACCTCTTCACAAAATTACAGAACCTAAGAAGGGGTCAGAGTCCTGGTTTGGCACTGTGGGTTAATGTGCCAAACTGCAAAGCCATTTGAACCACAAGGTTGGCAGTTCAAGCTCACCAGCTGCTCCTTGGAAACCCTGTAATGGGTCACTATGGGTCGGAACCGACTCAACGGCACTTAACAACAACAACAAGGGGTCAGCAGAAACAGCAGGCTGAGCAGCCAGATCACCATTCTTGTCCTATCCTTAGCATTAGAGGTCACTGTTTTTAGCCTTTGTCTTTCTTTACCCTCTAGTTTATCTCCATCCATACCCAGGGTACCCCTTGCCTTCATGTCTACTTCTATTGGTCTCTTCCTTTTCTATTCATTGGTCCTGTTTCCCATACAACAAAGCCTTGACCATTTAAGGAAGTCAACCCCTTGCAAACATTTCTGAGGGTTTTTAACATTAGATTAAAAAAATAATAAAATCATATCTCAGGCAGGAGATCCTCCAACATCACCCTTAGTGCTTCTACCATAATCATGGATTAAAAGAGGAAAGCTGTGATCCCTAGGCACTCAAAGCTGGTGGGTTGTCTGGTGGTCTCTCAGGTCAGTGTTTCTCTATCAATGAACCCCCCTGGGGAACAAGTTCAGGTAGCTGGAGATAAGTTCTCGCCCTTAATTTATGAATAATGCTACCAATGGTGCTCCATAGTCATCATCAGACATATACATACAATCATGTTAGACTCCCATACCTAAGGATGTGGTACTCCCATCACTGTCAAAGCCAACTTTGACTACCTGGTCTTCTCCTTAGACAGTCATGATATATATAGGAAGAGTAGTGATTTTTAAAATGTTGTAAAGTCAGTTCTGACTCATAGCCACCCTAAATAAAGTTTTTGAGGAGAAGCTGGTGGGTTTGATCCATTGACTTTGCAGTTAATAGTCCAGTGCTTATCCTACAGCACCATACCAGGACTCCACAGGGTAGTGATTGTTGTTGTTATTAAGTGCCATCAAGTCATTTTCAATTCATAGCAACCCTGTTTAGGGTTTCTAAGGAGTAGCTGGTGGGTTTGAACTGCTGACCTGTTGTTCGCAGTCCAATACTGCTCCTACAACATCACACCAGGAACCCAGAGTCGTAATAGTGTGAGTTTTATTAGTCCCACTCTCACCATTTGCCTCAGCTCTGACCTGAAGAAAATCAGTCTAGAAGCCCAGTCTGTCCTAAATAAACAGTTTGACCAGTTAACCATACAACAGTTGCATGAACATGGACTCCAGCCCTCCTGAGGTGAAAGCCATGTGCTCAGACCATGTTTATGAACTTGCCATTCCATGACCATATTGTACTGCATGGTCCAGCACCAGGTATCAAAGCCAGATTAAAACTGACAAAGTAGTGAACGGATACCATGAAAAGCAGGTTGTCTTCATAAGAGCTACTGCCAAACCTCTCCTGATTTCGGTACCCGATCAATACCAGGTTTTCCTTGGAAATTGGTGGCACAGAGAACAACCGAAACAATGTCGATCCACCCACTACCCCTTCTGTTGCTTACCACCCAGCATCCATCTGTGAGGTTTCTAAATAGCGAGCCATTTCAGATTTTAAGTCATTTGTGAAAAATTCATTTTATATGCAATTTTATCATTCACTGGGAATTTTTTTTCTAAAATGCAACATTTTAATTTTTTCTGTGTTCATCTGTTAGAGCGTTTGAGATTTTTTTTTAGTATTGTTTCAGTACTTTTTGTTCATGGTGATTTTTCTTTATCATTGAATTATAACTAGAATACACATTTTTATTTTTTATGTATACACAAAGATTAAACAATCAAGAGCTTTTCTTGATCACACAGAACAAGACTTAGATTTACATGTTCTATAAAAACATCTGATCTAAGGGTAACTTTAGTTGACATGTGACAGTAATACATAAGCAAAATGCAGTCCAACAATCAGTGGCCATTACTTTATTACAGATATATTTACAGAGGACTTGACAATCCTATAGTCATACCTCCCAGTGTGGTTTCCTGGACAAAACTGAGGCTCAATAATTATTTTATTTTTAGGGTGATCTTCCCTTAGTTTAAGAGCTTCAATGACAAACCCCTTCAATTTCCAGTAGTAGAGCTAATCCAGGCAAAGGTTTGACTAAGATGTACCATTAATACAGTCACATGCTCTATGTGTATGAATTTTATATTTTCTACATTACATGTTTAGCAGATACCACCTAACATGCTTATTTAAGACAGTATACTTAATATTGGAGACGATCCTAAGAAATTACAGATTTCTCAATATGGTATTCTAATTAAAACCTAATTAAGAATTCACTGTGCTAGGGTTTGGGTTTTTAGCATGGAAAAAATAATTTCACTATGCATAGAAAGTAAAGATATATTTTGGAGACATTAGAATTTCAAAAATATAAGGCAGCACATGTGGAATTTAGAGGTGTTAAGAATCTGAAGTGTGGGTTTTTCCATAGCTTTAAGCTTAAACAGTTTTGTATAATCAGCAAGCTTGCCAAACGGTATCAAAAAACTTATTTTCTTCAAGTGCTTTATTTATCTTTAATAGAACCTTCATCACCCTGGTGTTGTAAATTTGGAGTGTATGTTTGAAACGCCTGAAAGAGTGTTTGTTGTTATGGAAAAACTCCATGGAGACATGCTGGAGATGATCTTGTCAAGTGAAAAGGGCAGGTTGCCAGAGCACATAACGAAGTTTTTAATTACTCAGGTAAGAGATCAGTTCGGAAAAGAAAAAAAGAGATAAAACTTCTATCAAATGTTATCACTGTTTAACTACAGTTTTCTAGCCTTGTTGTTTTGTCCCT